CCAGCTCCTTCACACGCCAGCTAACCGTGCCCTCGAACGCGGCTAGTCGATTACCCAGCCCCGCCTCCGAGCCGTGATTGGCTGGCGGGCAATTACCGTAATCGATTTGGGCACCGCGGCTCAATGACGCTATTACGCTAGGTTCAAGGCTTTCTAATATCAGCGGGTAATAGTGAACTTAGGGCCCATAGAGTTTAAGCATTACCAAGGGATACTGTAATTTAGGCTAGGATGTATCGATCGATTCTGCTGAAAGGTAACGAAATCGATTTCTATGTACGTTTTGATGACGCAAAGCTTTAAACGCCATTTCTTGATCGATATTTTAATAATTTTACATTTTAATATGTTCCCTCTCTAAATTCGTTACGATGAAATAGCGAAGGGCGGCTGTGCATCAATGCCGTGTTACTGTAATAATTTATTATCGTCGATGTCGATGGGCGGCCTTCAAAGTAGAGTTGCGTTGAGAAGTCGACAACCATTGGAGACTTGAAATTTTGGATGTTTTTCTAATCTTAAACGCTCGGGTTTTTGAGAGTTTCTGTAGACAACTATGTAAGAAAAGGAAAAATGGGTACTCTAACGAAGATAAATGACTAAAGTCGAAACCTGTTCGCCAGACAGACCATCGTGTATCTGGGACTGGAATTGAGACCGTAAGCTCACATTAGCTGGTGACTGGACCAAAGAGATGCAGTTAGAATGCGTCAAATAAATTTCTTTAGTGAATTGAGTCCTTTTAATTGGTCTTTTAGGTCCGCTATCTTACTCTTTTATCCATTATTTAGCTATTTGACTCGGGAAAGCCCTATTTTAGCTCTTGTAAAAGTCCTTACTGGTAATGTCAGCCATGTTCCGTGTTCCTTACAGACAACTAGTAGAACTAGTAAGGCCTAAGAAGGGCTCCAAGCTGAGTCAGAATGGTCAGATTGAAAAGTTACGCGCTCACACCATACAACATTTCGTATTAGGACTTATTTTTACCCTTTCTCCCAGCGTAACTTAAAGGAAATGCCTGAAAAGTGGGTTGAGCTGAAGCCGAATCGATACTATCATGCTTTCCCATCAATTTCATGAACTGAGCTCCTTTCACATCCATATTCCGGATAAATCGATCGATTTGAGTTAGCGCAGCATCCCTCGCCATTTTTCACGTTATTTTAGTCCAGCAATTTGGCAAAATCTAAGAATTTGCACACATTTACCGGAGCCTTTCTACTTCCGAAGAAAAATCAGCCACCATCTATTCGGGTGAAGTCTTCTGGCTAATGCAGACTAATTTACTTAATTTCAGATTACTTGAGTTTTACTGGGTATAACTTTTATTTCAACATCTTCGTCTTAGCCAACTTTTGATTTTATCGGAGTAGCTTGTTGTTTTAAAGCTTCTATCGAGCCTTCTCAAATTCTACTCTTGAGACGTCTTTCGATATGACGGAGCTGTAAGAAACCCAACGTGAGAATAATACTCGAACTGTGCTGGAGATCAGGATGATAGTGCTACCTCAAAACTTGCTTTAAAAAATAATCGACAGCCTCGAAAACTTTTCCCTCCAGAAATTTCCAAAAAGTAATGTAGCCATCATATGAGTCATTCAATAGATGACTTTTCAAAACAGATGACAATTCAAATCGCTGGTGAAATGAGAGAAAAGAGAGTAGATTAAGTGTTAAATGATGGGATGGGTAAGACTATAGTACAGCCAGGTTTGAATATACTGTATAACTTTCCCATATTTTCGAAATAGTTTCTCGGCAGCCTTTTCGGCACTCTTTGTGATCCCATTTTTCCATTTTTTGCAAGTCGTTTTGGATTTCTCATCTCTATCTGGTCCTTGAGAGCGGATTGAAAGTAAAGTTTACTTTTGACAGTTCTTTGACCCGCCGAAAGTGAATATGATTTCCAGTGCTCGTGTAATCTAAGGTGATCTCCAGCCCGAAATCCACTTGAGGCCCGAATCGCATTGGACCCAAATTTCTAACCAAGTTCGACCCGGCAATAAAGTCTGAGAAAATCAAGAAAACAATTTTTAAAAAACAGGGTCTCCAGCTCTGAGACATGCCCTTTGAACTACTTATATCAGCCCTAATCCACCGGATTTCCCCCAGCTCTTAGTCAAACTTCATTTATCGATCCAGTGAAAGAGCAGGGTTGATGGAGGTACATATGATGTACGGCATGTGCACTTTCCCGGTTCTACGATTGACCTCCTACACTTCATGTGCCTGAGGCGTGCTCTAGGATCATAGCTCATATTAAGACCAATTCAGACAACCACATCCGAGTTCTAAGTAGCATGATAGCCATTAGACGAGGAATATGTTTGACTCATCCATTCCCAATAAATAGCTTGCAATCTAATTACCATAGTGGAAACAGCTAATAAAAAATGTAGCTGAGCATTCGTCTCTAGCTTAGAATGAGTTTGACTCGTGGTTTGACAAATTTTGCAGGATTTGAATCCACATTCGGATCAGAGCCTTATACTGGGCCACCATGAGCCACATATACTATCAGCGAATCAAATGCCAGGCTGAGCCCTTGAGAATCAGCCGTGCCTTGCTTGAAACAAGTGGGTCAATTAGTTGGTACCAGGTCGACGTGGAGGAAAGAAAACACCAATGTTCATACCTGTAGGCCACCAAAAGTTGTTTTCAAGTACCTATACCTACTGCATCTCTAAGTGAAAGGCGAGTGGATGGAAACAATCGAAATGGAATTACTCAACGCCTGAAACTTTTCTGTTTCCTTCTTTCAAACTTTCAACATTCCTTCTATGCTCCGATACCTACAAGCCATTGCTCCCATAAGTGAATAGTGACCAACAAAGTCATCGAAGACGTCGTTTGAACAGAGACCTATAGTGGAGTATGAAACTGTCTGAACCTAAAGCTACAGCTCCGCGATTAACATCACTTCTAGCTCCCTTTCCAAGTGCTCAGACAAGCTTTTTCAAATGCCCACACCAAACACAATGGATGGAGCGCAACCTGAACCATTTTGAACTTCAGCAGTCCTTTAATTTGCCAACTCATATCGAACCCATCAAAAGTTAGGAGTCACACGGTAGGAGAAATCTGAACCAACTCGAGAGGTCATGCTCTTACTACAACAGAGAACTACTGGTAAGTACGTGGAAGATCCTCGATCCTTCGCCTTATTTCCTTATCTAACCTTTCATTCGTAAAATAACCTCTTCAGTGCTGCTTTATAACACAAATCAATAAATCAATTGACAGTTGCGTGAAATGCCCTTGCCCTGAACCCGGTGACCTGTAGAGAAGGAACTTCAGGAATGTTCCCCGAAACAGAACTCTACCCATACCCCGTGACCACCGATTGGCCCAATATTTTCAGAAAAATGTCCTGTAATGTACAAAAACAAATCTTCATACTTTATTCTCTGATACAGTAATGACGACAAAGGGGATGACGCAACCAAAATCACAATGGTAAATATGAAATGTGAACAGACAGATGGAAAACAGGAAAAGAGATAGACAAATAGCAGCAAATGCAAAAAAGAAAAAAAAAGGAGAGAAAGAGATAGCCGAGGCCAAACGAGGCAAAAAATAACTAGGCTCCTAAGAAACGACAAGAACAGGCCCATGGGTCATGAAAGTCGCAGGAATTACTTCCAATAATTAGGCTAGTTAGATAGCAATTCAGCCGGATAGTAAAATAGACGAGCTAACGGACAAACAGACACATCACAAATAGACAATGGTTACCTTATAAAGTAACTTATGCATATATGTATATTTATAATTATGTATATATAGGTTGCACACACAAGAAGACGTACACACACATATATACCCTGTGAAGAAAAAAAGAAAAAATACAGTACCTTGTTTTCGTGGTGGGAAACATACCTTGTTTGATGAGAGGAACCTTGTATGAAATACACCCTGTGGGATGGCATAGTAATAGGCAGACAGACAGACAGACATGCACACACACGCACACACAAATGGACAGACACAGACAGACACAGGTAAACGACGAGAAATAGCATGACGAAATAGGAGAAAACAGAGAAACAAAGAAAACGAGAGTGATCTACAACGAAAACGAACCAACGAAAGAATTTAAAGCTGCTTGTAAGCACATTTGGAATGACATAATCATACATAGTATAAAAGCGAGCACACGTGGGCGGCGGTTGGTGGATGGCGCGGTTGGCGCAACAGATGGCGGATGGTGTGACCACCGCACGCGCGTGTGCGCCACGCTCTCTTACGGCCTTTGTGATTGGTCGCTTTGATCGGCTACAGTAAGTGGTTGCAATGAAGCTGTGAAGCTTTTCTTTTTTCGAATAAAAAGTCAAAGGAGTAGAGTGAGTCGAACCCTTAAGCGTAAAGAACCGGAACTAAATGAAGATGCTATCAGCTTCAGAATTGATTCGAAAGCAGGAAATTCCGTGGGAATCCCAAATGTGCAAATGGTAACGGGCCCGTCGGGAACGGCATCATTTGCGGTGTGATCGGCTTGTCCTGAAAAGCGATCGATTATTGATTGATTTGACACGGTAGGAGGTTTGACACGGAGGTTTGACATAACTTTGACAAAGAGGAGCTCTAAAACAGTTAAGAAATTATATTATTTTAAAAATTGGTAATATGTATTGCAGACATAAATACGAAAGAAGAATCCGAAATTCCGGTCGAAACCAATCAGCGCCTTGTGGCCGGACCGTTCAAGAGTTTTCGGATTCCCGATCTTCGGATTCTAGGGTCCATCAAAGAATCACAATTTACATGAACTCGGCAAGCGAAGGCCATCGTCTTGTGCGTTCACCCGAAATACCCGAAAATCTTGGGGAAAATGAAGAGAGAAGACTAATCTTCCGTAAAGAAATAGACCAATGAATTCATTGATCAGGAGCAGTAACGGGTCGCTAAAAGTCCGTAGGCGCATTTTCAGGTGATCAAAGTATCTGTGGTCCCATGCTGTTGAATATCTCCCAAGGGATGAAAGAGGGCTTTTCAGGAAGGAAGGCTAAAAAGCGACCATTGTTGCTGATCAAATTGCCGCACCTATTGTTTACCCAACTTCGAGAAGGGCTGAGGTAAGTATAGGCTATTCGAGAGGTGGGTACCTCAAATGTTAGGAAGCGACTAAAGGGGTCGTCTTGCATAACAATTGGATTGGGTAGCTATTCCATCTCGATTGTTATGGGCTATACTCTTATATGTACACTTCCTCGAAGGGACAGGTATAGGGAAAGGAATACGGAGCGACTGAACGCGTGGTGTCAGCGGAGCCATTCCCAGTCGCGCTACCGTTTACCCTTATCGAGCCCATCAAGAATCTCATCGCTTGCTGATGGGTCATCTATATCCCTACCTAACCGATTCCATACCTTTGGATGGTAGAGGCTCCTCCTCCTGCCGGGCGAGATTTCAAGGAATCGTCAAGTTGTCAGAGCAATGAAACCTTCAAAAACTACTTGGGCACCCTCCAATGGCACCTGAACCTCTGATCGATTCTAGCGGAACAAGAGCGATTGGTGCCCGCATTCATTTGTTTCTCCTTCCCTGGTTACCATCCGTCACACGAAGGAAATGTCGCAACATTCGGGCAATATGCGACATCTGGGCGACGTTCTTTTGACGTAAGCGGGGTACAGATTTTTGAGACGATTTATTGCCATCGGAGGCCAACAAACACGTGCTTGGCTGCACGGACGATTGAACGGGTTTCCGGTTGAAATATGGATGAGCCTTTCTGAAGACGTGTTCGAGTTTTCCTACACTGAGTATCAATGAAATTTACGGTTGCCGTTACGCTTGTTTGCTTCGTGCCATCTATGGAGAATGGCCTTAATTCAAGCTGATCTATTCCGTCTGAGGGATGCGCCCACCCATTCGACTTCCATTCAGAATCGTAGTAGCGTATTGAATGTGTACGAGGCCTATACGATGACTTGCAGCAGCCAGCCTACGTACAAGTCAGTGCGTTCATCCTCCCAGATAGGTCTGGTACCAATTAACCGACCCCGGAGGACTAGGAGGCTTGGTCAGCCTAGGTCATATCGATCCTGTTCAGTTATCGAATTCCATAAAGTATTAGTGATGTTGACCAGAGGTGATGATGTGGCCTACCGCAACACATTGTCCAGGATCGATATCCGCCCAGTCAGTCGCATTCTTCCAGGGTCGGGTGGGCTGTGCGGATATCGATTCGAGACCATGTGTGGAGTCTTTACACTGTTCTCACTCCTCCCAGAGAGTCTGCTATCAGGGTAACTGATATCTGGCATTCTGGGAGGATAGAAGAACAGGCTTGTACATCGGGTGGCCACAGCAAGGCACTGTACGAGCCACATATCCGCTCAGAAAGGCTCTACGATCCTGAATGGAACTCGACTGTGGGGCCATTGTACAACGGGAATGACCAACCTCACTGTATTTGAAGGTAAAAATCTTTGATAATTACTGATAAAATCGTATAGTAGAAAAGTAAACGACTCACTTTGTTTTCTTTTTTGTGCTTCATCCGCCTATTTTGAAACCAGATTTTTACCTAAATATGATAAATTGGGCAATATCCGTCTGATGATCAAACTTTGCTTCTTGACAGTCGAAAAGTTATGAAGGTAATTTAGGTAATTAACGACGTGATGATTTTTTCCACCCGTTACCGTACTCAGAAACCGTGTTTCGAAATAATAAATGGGATTCAATTAACGAAGTTTTCATTCCTACAATGACCGAAATCTATTAATCAAGATCTATGGAACGATTCAAGCACATTAAGGTGAAACGATTCCCAATTCGGTGTCGGAACTGATCCCAAATAGTCACAAAAAAAGATAAACCACCTTTAGATATTAAAACCTCACAGAGTGTCTCTATAAATAGGTATTTTATTCAGAGAAAACCCTTAACGGATGAAAACCCCATAGAGTGCCTCTATAAAAGGGAAAAATATTCGTCTACGTTAGTTACCTGCCGTTCTGTGAGCATCAACGAGTGAGCGATTTCGATTCGTCGTTTTCTCGTCAAGTATTTATTGAAATGGAATTCCTTAAATAAAGTCAATATTTGTATTGACATCAAGTATGAATACCTACAAAGTTGCTCATTGTAATAATGAAATAGAAAATTAAATCGTGCCAGCTAACTGCTAGACTAAGAGCGAAGGAACAGTAGCGACAAGTGGCGCACTATCACACAGCCATGGCCCTGTAATCGAATCCCGGATCGATTCTCGCCCAGGATGATCAAGCTTTCCATCTTTTTGGGGTCGGTTAATTGTCTGGGAGGATAAAAGCACTACTTGTACATTGACTAGCCATTAAAGTCATTGTATAGGTGCGCATTCAAACCGCTACTACGATTCTGAACGGGGCGCATCCCCCGGAAGGGACTTCATGAGCGGCGAAGGTTTTATCCTTTAGCTTTAGTCATTGAGCTGTTTGCTATGCTTATGTACATGAATAATATTACTCCAACAACGTTCTGGAAAAGATCTTACCTTTTCCAATTCAAGCACTTGATTTCGTGTGTAAGCCGTCCGCTGTCGTTTCTCGCCTCGTGAACCACCTAAAATTCTTTGGTCTTCAAAATGACACACAGCATAAGAAAAGCTGGAGATTTCATGCCATATTTTCAAAAAGTATCATTAAAATATGGATTTTGATAAATTTGTACAATATGTTCATTTTTATGGCAAAGGCTCCTATAACTGTTTAGAAAATCTTGAATAATGCATTGAGAAGCAAGTCTTCAGAAACGTTAGAGGCGTAAAATCAATAGTATATACCTAAATGCTTATGAAACAGAATATTCATAAATAACCAGGCAAACCTTGAGATTAAATGTTCTCGTAGTTGAGAAACAATTCCGTATTCACACAAATGCTCGAATTTAACACTATTGTAAGATACGCTCCTCCCTTTCACGCCTTTTATAGCCGATTAATAATTGAAGAATTATTGGTGAGAGTACTTGGGCTAATTTGAATCATGTTTGTCGCCGTTGGGTCAAATGGGCAGAACTCCGTTACATCTTTTGAAAATCCGTCAAAAGTGGAACGCGACCTAACAGTGAGCTCCCGCGGGCTCTCAAGTACTCTACACCAGCGAATAATAATTTTGAAAACATCTAGAACGGTCGCGCTATCACTAATAAGATCTCAGCTTTGGTGGTAAAATCCGTCTGAGGTCCAGCGTCCGGCTCATAACGAAAGTCCTATGGATCAGTTGAAGCCCTTCCTAGCAATTTCTATGCCTTCTGTCCATGTTTCAGATGTGAAACCATAGATTTTTCACATTTCTGGGACGGACAGGGAAAACACAAACTGCTGTGACGAGAAGAACTGACTGACCTTTTTGACGATTCGAAAAAATAGCCGTTCTGTGCCATTTACCTTCGACGGCTCGGTTTTTTTCGCCGTTCTCTACACAATAGGATTGCCATTTATACATAAATCACTTGAACGTAAAAGAACGGTTCGCGCTCGTCAAACTCGCAATGTTGCGATCTGAGCCAATCTTGGCGAACCATTCTTTACGTACATTCGATTCCGAACATTTGGAAGACGATTTGAAAATCTGAAGGACTTTGGAACCAGTTCCAATTTATAGCCGTATTATCTCCTTGAATAAGATGGCCATTCCCTTCAATCCGACAATCTGAGCGTTCTTCCACTGAATTGCCTCAAAAAAGTTCGACATTTCAGAGGCCTTCGTGTGAACGTGGCTGATTCCTATTGCGCCATCATGTGGGTCTTGTAATAACAAATAACGTGATTTCAGAGGTCACTGGATCTCTTGGATTCCCTCCAAGGAACTTGAAATTTCAGGGCTTTTATATGAACTTCTCTGTCAGACCTTCGAATCAATGGTCGACGTTGATTTCCTGGCTCCCCTTGAAAATTTCTCCCTGTTTTCCGTTATCGAACATCATAGTCGATTCAACTATGTGATATCGGACATTGTAAATCAGACGGCGCTCGAGATGTCCGTGTCATGAGCGCTGGGCCAGATTTATTATTTCAGCCAACATAAGTAGTTTTGCTACTGCCGGTTATTGATCCAGGACTAGGAGACCGGGTACGATCAACACGGCTTTGAAAAGAATAACAATCAAGAAAATGAAATAAAATACTACTAAGATGTAACTTCCAGTTTTCATGAANTTTAATTTCCATTTTCGTAAACAGCATTCGAAACTCTATCTATTTATCTGGGTCTGAATTCAAAGTTCCAAGATAAGTAGACTACCCCTCCCTGGTCAGATACAAAAATCTTCCCTATACTCCTCTCTACCACCAAATCCAGATCTGATTAAATGGAGCAGGTAAGTTGTCCCGGGAGATTTCCCAGATTCTCTCAATGTTGCAGATAAGTTCTACTAACTCCCACCCCCTTTCCCACACGTAAAAAAATAAAGAAGTTGTAGGGGACCTCCTAAAAAATTGCCCTCAATAATCAACTTTTAAAATCTCCGCAACATTCCCTGGGAATAGCTTCAAGATCATTCCATGCCTTAGACTGAGCTAAGCTGAGAACTTTCAGACAATATTCACGGCCCAAAAAGCCCCATGGATATCAGCTGAGTGTTCCAAATTTCCCATTTCCTCATATTTTGCAAACACCGTACCTGTCAACGACAAGATCACCTTGGGTGAGTTCTTATCTTCTAAAAGAACTTTTCTTTGCTGTTATTACATCAGGTACCCGTAAATACAGCTGAAGCTCAAATGTCAATGGTGCAGTTTGGGCCGAACTCGGGACATTAAATTTCTAGCCAACCCATTTTGAAAACCCAAAACCAGCTCCGATCTCCATGATATGCCTGCTTTTCCATGAGCAACATCAGTTCCGGATGGTTATTGATGTACGATTTGATTTGTACGGTGAAAAATGATGGATTAATGTGCTGCACATGCAAATTCATCACTGAAGTGTGTGGGAATGCAGATGTTCGCGGGAATGGCCGCGCGCGGCCTGAACGATCTGCCGCGAAGGAGCTGGTAAAACATCTGGAGGAAAGCTTTGAATTTGCCGAGTTCCTTCTTCAGGCTGGATTTGGAATCCCGTCTCATACTGAACAGGTATTAATTAGCTCTGTGGGAAGTGATCGATTGATTGGACTTTCCCATAAAGTTCCTTGAAAAAAGCCATTATTTCTGAAGTCCCGATTCATAAGTCAACGGAAAACTTAATTGTATGGATGCGCAGATCGCAACACTAGGGATCTCAGGAGTGCGGAGGTTTTTCATGGTGTAAAATGATTTATGTATGGCGAGGTTAATGAGCATAGAACGGTAATCTGGAAAAAACCTCCGACGCCAAAAAGTCTCGCCGTACTTGGTTAATTGCTCTCTCTTAGGAAGGAACCCCATAAAGTGGTTAGGGGCTGCCAACCAGCCTCTACAGTATGACATAAAGCATCTGTGCTCGGAGCTGTGCTGTTTTTCTGAAAGGGACCTGATGACTTGAGAGGTACCGCTGTTATCTGCATAGCCAACGGAACGTATTCTCCTGGACAAGTGAAGTGTGGGGGAATGCAGATGTTCGCGGGAAGAGTTTGCCTTCCGGTATATAGCTTTTACAAAAAAGCTTAAATTTCTAATTTGAACTTCAAGAGGCTTCTGGGATTTCTGTAGAGGAACATACTTCTGTAGAACTCTCAACACGAATCTCTCTTAGTAGATGTAAGCGCTGAGCGCGTAATTAAAAGGCTCCAAAGATCCTGAATCGTGTCAGATGCATGGCGTATACTCCAATGGATCAGCACTGAACGTTTTCTTTATCACATCTACTACACGCCACTACTAATTGAAGAACTGACGACCCCGAGGGTACCCAACAATAATCTGCTCCGATCCCGAACCGAGGATGATATTCCAGAAGAGCAGCCTCTGACAAGGGGTCAAAGACAAGAGGCCCGGGGGCTGTTCCGAAAGGTCCAATAACCCTCAGAACTCTCTCAGTTGGAAACCCACTGAGCTTCCTCTAAAATGTCACAATTGTGGGTTACCAAATTGGCTGAGGGTTTTACTTTGTCCATATATGAACAAACAACAACTTTGTCCAATCCCTAAATCGAAACCCTTGAGATGAGAATGCCTCAGAAACGATAAAAGCCCCATATGAAAATGCGTTCATTCCAGTCCCTCATTAATATTCCTTTCCGTTGTTCCACGTCCTTACCCCACTTATGCAACACAAGGTCTTTGTCCGCCGGCGCTCGTACCCCAGCGGTTTGGTTTGGCAAGCCGATTTCAATACGAATTTTCTAGCTGTCGCGCGTGGGCCGAATGAGGAATTGCCGAGCGGTAATAATACGTGACAAAAACACGAATTAATGGATTTTCTGACAGCACAATAAATCGCAGGCGACCGCTGAATGTCGCGCGGCGGACGACGGATTAATCGCGCGTCACATTGAGCACCTCATAAAATCAACCACCTGCCCGCTTGAATGTAGCAATATGCCGAGGCTGGAGTGAACTGGGAAGCCCGTTGAACGTCTGCCTTTGGCCTTTGAATGATTTTTTCGATCTAATTTGATTGAAAAACGGATCCCTCTGGCATTGTGCCCATTAGAAAGCTTTACCGTATGTTCCCCTCACAGTTCTTCTGCCATAAGACACTGAAGAAGAGATATTGTCGAAAACATGACCGTTTCCTGTTTTTATAATCTGTTCAGCTCAGCTGGAAGGCTGCAACGCCTTGTGACGGACCGGTTCGCCGTCTTTTTCAGGAATATGTAGCGGTAACGTCATCAGAGACGGGCAAAGGATATCAAGGTACACTGTTCTCCCTTGGGCACAGGCAGTAAGGATCTGCCGAATGACTATTCTGGACTAATTCGGAAACATCGTCTATGAGGCTCGACCTGTCTGAGATTTCATTGCTGTACCTTCCTGATTTAGTTTTGTTAAGCACTGGCCTATTGTAGCAGGTAAGCAGCTTCAGTGAAGCTCTCCGAATGATCATGCAATCGCTCCAACGATTTCACATCACCCCCATTAATCACCACATTAGGGAGAAGCAGGACCGATCAACAAAGCCGCTTCTTTCTGTCTTGCTCTTCCCTGGATTCCCAGCAGTATCCGCTAGAGTACTGCGGTCCTGAGCATGGCGCATACCAAGGCAACCAAATAGGATTGGATGAGGGATTGAACAATTTTCGTTGCTCAGGGATGAGCCCGTGCACCTAGCTTCCAGAGGAATTGTAGATGATTATTAATAAATATTTGGCTCGTCTTAGGACCCCATTAGAGCAATCAGTAT